CTCCTCCCGCTTCCACTTTCCCTCAATGCGCCCCCTTCCGCCGCTGTCTCGGTGAGCAGCAAGACGACTCCGGCCTCCTCACCCGTTCACCCTCCTTTGCCCCCTGCCACCGCCATCTTGCCCGCCGACTCTCCATCATACTCTGTCGCCGTTGTCTCACTGAACAGCAAGATGATGACGGCCTTTCTGCGCCGGTGCCCTCTCTTCCGTCCACCGCCCCCGCCACCTGCTCACCCGTCCGGCGCCACCATCTCGCTGTGCAGCAAGACGACGGCGGCCTCCTTGTACCGCCATCATCTCGCTGAACAGCAAGATGATGGTGGTCCTTTCTATGTTGCCGCCGTGTCGCCCGTCCACCCGCCTCCATCCCGCTGAACATCATAACGACAGCAGGCGTATCGCGCCACTGCCGTCCGCCTCCATCGCCCGCCGTCGTCCCTTCCCCAAGACAGGACTCCACGCCTGCGGCGTCCTCGCCCACCCCGCCCATCCGCATCCCCCGCGCAGCCGTCCGCCGCCAACTTTGCACAGCACCCACACACCCCGGAGACGATCTTTACAGTGATCAAAGATCATGGCAACGCGTTCCTTCCCATGTATAGGAACGCAAACGGACGATACACACCCCGAGCGACACGCATGCACAGCGGTGGTAGTTACTGCGCCGAGATTCTGCCTTTGCCTGTGCTCTCCTGTTCCCCCATATCCGCATCTTCATCTTCATTCGACGGTGTCAATGATGAGCATAGCATTCTCTGATTTTGCTTGTGTATTCCTTGTTATCCACTCTTACTTGATGGCACTGCAGCAGCATTCTATATTGTTTCCTCACTGTACATACACACTGTACTAGTCTCAGCTTGTGATGCTATTCGCTTGCTCCATAATAAACAATGTATACTACGACAAAGAGCTGCATGCTTTGCCACTCATGGAGTGCACGATCAACCCATTCCTGCATTGGGATTGATCTCTTCCTGCAGGACGAACCACCAGGTGAACTGCGAACCGATCTATGATCCAGCAGGACAGGTATTCAAGGTCTCTATACTCGGCCAACAACGGCCAAGGAATGCCGCGTGATCCGTCTGTGGCTGGAGTCGTGTGGCGTGAGCATGTCCGTCCCTGTTTCCATACATACATGATTTTGAGAGGGGGAGGAGCAGCTGTAAGTTCAGTAATTGCACTACTGTTGCGGTTGCATTACTGGTGCAACGATAGTACCCCAGACGTGTCTTCGACACGTTTGTGTACGAGACCAGACATTTGCGGAGTATACTGGCCGGCACGCCGATCTGCATCCGCACACACATCGCGCCGACAGAGAACGAGGCGTGGAGAGCGAGCTCGAGCAGGCCCGGTGCGTGAAGGGAAGGGAAGGTTTTTCATAGATCGGCCCGTGTGCATGAACTGGCTCGGCTCGCCCTTCCATGACCTTCTCGCCCCGACGTGTACGCCAGGAGCGACCCTCAACGCAAACCGCGGGCAGCGTCAAGGCCGAATGGTTACGAGCCCCCGCAGTGGGGCTGCTAACGACGTTGGCTCCACTGGTTTTGGTGTAATCGGCACAGGTGTTGGCGTCAATATCACCGGTTCGTCTTGCATCTGAACTCACCATGCGTATAAGCTGATACTGCTCTTCCTTTCTCGCAGCCAGTGCGCAAGCTGTGGCTGCGGCGTGATCTGAAAGAGTTGCGCTGCGGATAGCACACCCGCGGATCGCTGTGTGTATGAAACAGTAGCGACGGGTGAGCACGAACACGAACGCGAGCACGGCACCAACAGGCCCACAGCGGCTACCACGATCAAGAATTGCTTGAAGAGCACTAATAGCAGTAACAGCCGTACGCAGCCATGCTGCCACTGGCGCGACAATGGCCGGGGGTGCGCGGG